ACCTCCCTTGTGCATCCCGTCCCGCTGCCCGCGCTGCCGCCCCGTCGGTCCCGCCCGGTGCTGTCGCGGCTGTGTCCGGGTTTGGTGGTGTTGGGAGGCTGCCGTATCCCGCCGCCTCCATTGGCTCCGCTCCCCGGTGCCTCGCCCGCCCCATCCGGAAGCGGGTCGCGCTCAATCCCTGGCGGGATCTTCCCCCAAAGTCTGCCAGACCGAGCACACGCCTGCGCTGTGGCCGCTGCTTGTGCTTCCAGCGCCCGCAGGTCCCACACTCAGTCGCCCTGAGTGTGGATGTGGAGTACGAGTGACTGAAATGCTCCAAGGATCCCCATCCTGTGTTTGGTGTCAGTCTGGCAGTACCCTCAGAGCCTCTGGGTTTTGCTGTGTCTGCAGAAAGCACCTCCAGGAGATCCCATCCTCTAGCACTAATGTTTCCACCAGCTTGGAATTGGACTCCGGAAAGACCTCCGACCTTCTGTCGGCCCTTAAGAAGGACAAGCTGGGCAATGAAAACACACCACAGGACCTGCTGGTGTCGTCACCCTGCCTTCCTCCAAAACGGCAGAAGGTGAAGGACAACGAAAAGGACTTTGTTATCGTGCGCCGGCCATGGCTGCTCCGAGAGCCAGAGTCAGGTACTGTCACCCTGGTCCAGGTTCTGCTCACCCTCCAGCAGAGATGGAGAGTGGGCATAACAAGTCTGCGCTGCTTTATTGTTTGTTTCTTTGCTCTTTCCTAGCAGAATGTCACTTTTAGATCTAGTGGCTTTCAGGCTTGGGGTGGTAAATCCTCTTTTATGTATGCCTTTAAACAAGGGTGGTGTGTCTGGCTCCAGAATTGTGGTCCATGAAAAGCGTGGTTCTCTGCTACCTAACCCCATGAGTGCCTGTGTGTGTGTGTGCGCGCTGGGGGGTTGTGCTGCGCTGCACGTCCCTGTGCCTTGCTGCTCTTGTGTATGGGACATAGATGGCACTTTGGCCCAGCAGTGTTGTGTTGTGTGTTTTAAAATTGCTCAAAGAATCAGCAGCTAAAGTATGCTTAATATAAAAGCTAAAGTGTAACAAAGTTTGTTGGCAAAATTTATCTAATTACTAGACGGTTAAAGCACACTGAGAAGAAGCAAGCTAACTGATCAGTCTAAAACCAAAGTCAATCCAAAAATTATCTGTCTGGAGGCAGGAGGAGAAGGATAAGTGAGGAGTGCAGGTTGAGGTGTGCCAGTGGAGCTGTGTCCCGATGGAAATGAGGGACTGCCCCAGAGAGCTACAGGGAAAGCACATCCAAAGGTGGAAGGCTGCTGGGCTGGAAAGGGAAAGAGCAAGGCTCTTGGTCTCATGAAAGATGCATTTAAGAATAGTGGGTTCCTTTCCCTGGTGTCAAAATGTGGTTTTAGTCTGGATGAGTATGTGATGCAAAATAAATAAGCAGCTGTCTCCAGACATTATGCTGTCACACAGGTGGGAATGCCTTCAGACAATCCTGTTTCTATATAAGATGGGGTGCTGGGTCAGTGACTGAGCTCCACAACCCAGAAATCTCCCATGTGAATCACGACACCTTCTGGAGACCTGAAAGAAGCTGTAATTCCACCACATTGTTTCACATAAATATTGGAGTGGTGATAGCATGCATGTTTTAGGAAGCAGTTTGTAGTACCTGATTTTTTTCTGTGTATCACGCAGAAGCATATCTTACCTTGAGCTTCCTTCTGGGACTCTTCCATGCATAAGGAAGAGTGGGCATTTCAGCAGAGGGGAAAAAATCCCCAGAGAATCATACAAGCATGAGATGGCAAAGGCAGTAACTGAGATGCTCTTATTCTCCAAGTGAGTATGTGAGTAGTGTTTGTGGTTTTTCTATGTATACAAAGTGAGTATTACATGAACCTTTACGTTTACCAGTCATGCCTAGACAAAGATGTTAAAAATGTCTTCCTACAATGATGAGCTGCAAGGGAGGTGAATAGTGGGGCTGATGTCTGATGTAGGCTGATGTATAGCCTACAGAGAAGTCATAGAGGGACTTTTAACAGCCAAACCAAACAAGGCATCTGACCAGCAGGCAAAAATTAACCAGCTTTAATAGAACATGTTTTGCTCTTTTCCTAAAGGTATTTCTTTGGATGCACTTCCAGATGAATTGCTTTTGGCAATCTTTGCCTATTTGCCCCTAAAGAATTTGCTGAAAGTTTCTATGATTTGCAAGAGATGGCATAGACTTTCGTAAGTATTACTTCTTGTCATTTAGTACAAAGGAAAATCTTTGTTTTCACAGACTGTTAAATGGTCTGGTTCTCATCTTATTTATACATATATAATTCAATTAAGTCTTTATGTGGGAATGCATAGCCAAAAGATGCCTCATGTGTTTTAACATTACTGTAGTCTGTTAAATAGCTTTCCCTTCTCTCAGTCTGTTTTCAACACTGAAAACATTCTGTTGTTGTACTCACAGCTTTGACCCGTTACCCATTTGAACTCACTAACAAGTAAAATTCTGTGTCCCAGGTTTGATGAATCTCTGTGGCAGACTCTTGATTTGACTGGTGGGAATCTGCTGCCAGGAGTGCTAGGACAGTTGTTGCCTGCAGGTGTTACTGTGTTCCGCTGCCCGAGATCTTGCATTGGGGATCCGTTGTTTAAAACAAGCAAGTAAGGCTTTTTCTGTATGTTCTAGATCCTGAAACTGTGTCTCAAATATTCACATTCTTTTGGTTTTAAGGTAGTAGCAACGAGCAGAGGTGTTTGTGCTGTCCCTGGAGAGTGGAAGAGCTAATTAGTGGTTAAGCCATTGTTGAAACAGGAGGATCTGCATTCACCTGTGTTATTTAAAACCAAGTTGATGTAATTTTTTTGAAAATATCGAGCACCATAATACCCTTGCAGTTTGTATATTGTAGAGCAAAGAATTATCATAATCTCCAGCATTTTTATATGGTGCACTCAAAAAATCATTTAACTTCAGCAGGACAGACTTTCAGGTGTTAACGAGCAATCAGTAGAGATATTGTTTGCAAGTTGTGCATGCTTTTAGTGTATGGGATATATTTGTGATGTGGAGAATTTATGGAATAGGTTTTAATGCAATTTTAGTAATCTTTCTCTTTTTTTTTTTGTTAGTCTTCTTAAAATTCAGCACCTGGATTTGTCAAACTGCACAGTGTCTGCTGCAGATCTACACAGTATTCTTTGTCTGTGTGAAAAGCTGCAGAACCTCAGCTTGGAGGGTCTAGTGCTTTCTGACAACATCATCAAGTGAGTGACGTGTTTGGGAAATACCTTCTGTTTGGTGCCATCATTTTGTGCAGGCTAATGAAAGAATGCAGTGGAAAGTTGTTCATTGTGGGAGTCTTTTGAAGTAGCCAGTTCTAGGTACCTTTTTTCCTCCTAATTCCCAGAGTAGCAGGGGGTTAGAGAAACTGCTCACCTCTCTAGGGTATATGTATCTGTATTCCCGTATATGTATCTAAGCTGTACAACGGAGCTACTTTTATTTTCCCAGTTTTGTGCTCCCGTGTGTTCGGTGTGCAGGTTTTTTTCTGCTCCAAGGGCTCTCAGTAGCTCTCCCACCAGGTGCCCATTGTGCTTTTGCACTGTTGCTCACTTTTTGTTGAACTTCTGAAGTCCTGGAAGATTACAGATTCAGTCAATCAGACAGGTTTTTTTGGTTCAACTGCAAAGACACTAATGGGTGTCCAGTCAGCCTCCTGTTCAGGCACCAGAGGATTGTGGAGGTGCCAGGGACCATACATCAGGTGGCAGAGACTGTCCTGCTTTCTGATACCTTCCTCACTCCAGGGAGGGGGAACCAGAGTACAAATAAACAAGTATTGTTTGGCTTTTATACTATCAGTAGGAACAGTTAAAACTATCTGAAAATTGCGGACTAATCAGGCACTAATGATGGACTTTTATTGCCTTCTGAACAAAATTTTGTATACTGAGTGTTCCAGGTATTGCTAATTGCATGTGTGCTCTAGTCTTCCAAACAAATGCATTCAGGGGATGCTATTTGGACATGGATTTTATCCTGAAATAACCTCTATCTTGGTAGAGGGATGACATCAGAAATGGGATGGTTGCTTTGTATTTGTAAAGGTGTAGTCACCTCTGATAAGCCGTGGTGTATGTTTACTGGCATACAGCAGGAGAAGGTGAAAAGAAACCATTTCTTTGTAAACTTTGTAGTTTATAAATACTTGCCAGCAATGTCAAGTAAATAGACAGGTATCCCTTTTAATGTTCTCCCTTAATGCAGCAACTACAGAGTTGAGACCCTTAGTGACTCAGGTTTGTCATTTAATTAAAGATGAAGTAATTAATGTTTAATGAACAATTCCCCGTCCAGGAAATTAGGGCTTAAAAACAGTCCCATCCTAGCAAAGCAAACAATGTTCCAACATTTAGATTTCATCAGATTTTTCTTTTTTCTCCCTACAGTAGCATTGCTAGAAATCCCAATTTGATACGACTAAACCTCTGTGGATGCTCAGGGTTTTCTGCAGATGCCTTGGAACTGATGTTGAGCAGCTGTTCTATGTAAGACAAAATCAGTTTTTGCTATTCCTGAAACAAAGGATTTGTTTTTTGCCTTGGGCATCTCTTGTATCTAATACTTTTTTTAATGTGTCTGTTTTGTTCCTAAATGCCTAACAGTTGATTATTAGCTGAATAGTCAGGTAATTTTTTTCCACCAAGTTATTTTCTTCTTTAATAGCAAATATGTGCTTCGGTAGATTTTCATGGGTTTTCTGAATCATCTTTTTGGGTGTGTAAACCCCATTTAGGTTCCTTTGATATCATGTAAATTTGATTTTCTTATAAAAAGAGTATGTGATTCTCACAAAGACAAAAATGTGTGTTTTGGAACTGGAAAGTGAAGTTCCAGAGCTCCCTTTGCAATCAGAGTACAGCATGAGTGGCAGAGAACACTGTGCCTTTCCATGATAGAATAATCCTTTAGTAACCTTCTAGTTTATGAAGGACTGTGTTCAGATTGACAGCTCCAGTGATTAAACCATCTGCTGACAGAACACTATTGAACTGGGCCCCAGTGAATTTGGGATTTATATCCAATCTTTCTGCTGACTTCCTGTGACCTGCAGGACAACACGTAATCATTCCTTCTGCAAAAGCATTTTTTTTTAATCGAATTGTGAGCTAGTGGGCAGCCAAAGCTTTAATCTTTGTTGCTTGGTCTGATTACTCATATCATGAGCTCCTTACGGGATGATGGTGTGTGCAGTGCACAGTGAATAGCAGATGGCAAATCTGATGCTAGGAATGCTAGTGGCAATCTAACTTTTTTCATATTATGTAGAGAATGCCAGCTAAATGCTCTAGTTGTGCATTCACTGTGTCTTTGTCCCTTCGTTACAGCTACAACACCTGCACACAGAACAGTACTCTGTCCCAGCCCCATGGTGACAGGCTATAGGTAATCAAGCACGTAAAGAGAGTTGAGCTCACAGCATGACCAGTGTTTATATAAAACTGTGAATTATTTTATGCTAATTAGGATTAATTGGTCATCTGACCAGTACTAATAATGGATGGTGGTTTTTCCTCTCAATGTGACCATCTGTTCAGTTGTAACAGATTCAGGTCACAAACCTGATGAAAAGACAGTGTCTCCCTGTGGCAGTTCTGGAGGGAGCCTTCACTTCCTAAAAATATTTTCGAATCATTCCAGTTGAAAGTTGCTTTGGGAAGTCACTTTAACCCCTTTCCCATACCAGGGTCTAAAATTAGCACTGTCTAGGTGGATGAGGATTTTCTGTGGTTGTATCTTGAAAATCTCCGAAGACGGATTTAGCTGGATAAACCTGCTCCATCTATTAGTGCTTAATTATTGTCATACTAAAATATCTAGTCATGAGTACAGTAAGTTAGCAGTGGGCATGTTAAAAGAGTTTGCTTTAAAAGCATCAACTATAATGAAAAATACCAGAACTTGAACTGTAGTTCAGCCATTCTTGTTAACAACTCTGTTCATTTGTGTGTAGGCTGGAGGAGCTGAACTTGTCCTGGTGTGAATTCACAGCCATTCATGTCAAAGCAGCAGTCAATCATGTTACTTCAAAGGTCACCCAGTTAAATTTAAGTGGATACAGAGAGAATCTACAAATAGCAGGTAAACAGCAGTGTGACAAACCTTTATCCCACTGTGGGATGAAGCAGCAGGCTTTACGTTTTCTTCTGGTAGGCATTCACTCTTTGTATAGGAGAATCATGTACTAACAGCAACTTTTGTGCTCTGGATAGTTTGAAGTTCTTGCTGCCAGAGATTCTTACTCATATTTCTGGCTCAGGCATGAAGGCCAAGATGATTTTTCTTCTGAATTCAGGAACAGTCAAGTGAAAGCTCATTTCTTCTTCAGTGAAAGAAGCAGCCTTTACTTGTGAAGTAAGTCCTGGAAGCAGGACTTTGTATGCTATGAATTAGCTCCAGGAACAATATCTGGAAGGCTTTCTTAAGGCTTTTGCTGTTGTGTCTGCTGAAAGTATCTTCTAAAAGAGAACAGCCACAGTTAGTGCTTCAGTTTCAGACTGACATCCGGATACCAGTTAATTTGGAAGGTAATCTCAGTAATGAACATTTAACCATTTACTTGCTAATAGTTGTAGGAAGAAAAGTTTTATTAAGTTGGAAGGTATAGAAAATGCAGGAAAGTCAAGATTTGGGGGAGAGTGCATCAGAGTGAACAAGAGCTAAAGGGTGAAAGTCCTTTTGTGGTGAAGAGAATTTAATTTTCGCAATGAGTGAATATGACAATAGTGCATCAGATGACATGCAGGGGGTGACCTCTCATTTCTGTTTAAATATCACACAGACCACTTTGTGTATTCCCTTTGTGGGGAAATAGGCAAATCTTCTTATCTCAGCCCCAAACCCATAGACAAATATGCTACATAATCTTCTCCACATCAGGAATTTGAACCTTGGGCCCTCTGATTGAGCCATTAGAGACCGTGTGCTGACCTCTTCTATTTGTCACTTTCTCTGAGTGGCTTTACTCTGTTTCAGTGGAATTTATCAGGCATAAAACTTGAATAGTACAATAATCATCATAATTAAGGTATTGCTGTTTTTTAGTTTCTGCACATGAATTCTGAAATACCAAAGTTATTTTGCATGTTGTTGAGCACCTTGCAATGGCTTTTAGGTTGTATCTGAACCACAGGTGATTCAGTGCTACTTGCAGACCATGAAAAGAAGGTAAAAAATTCAGTTTAAATCAGAAAAAATGTAACTCTTTGTCATAAGGAAAGAACTTTTTGTGGATAAGAATGGAGATGCCTAAAGGATTTGGTACTCTGAAAGGATATTTGATGCATTGAAAATTTTTGTTACTTTTTCAGTGTGTGTTAAGTATTTCAGGCAGCTCACCATTAGTATGTCTCAGTAGATTTCACAAAAATATCATTTGAATTACTCTATTCCTAAGTTGATGGTTGATGCAACTGATTTCTAGATTGCTGAACTAAATTTATCTGTTTTGCTGAGGGTAATAAAAGAAGTCCATGTAAGGTAAGGATACATTTTTCAGTTTAAAAATTGTGCTTGAGTTGTGGGGTTCAGTAGAAAAGATATAAATGAACATGTGTGGACGTGAGTAGGCTGTGAAAAGCATGTCCATCTTATTACTGAAAGAGGGACTGACGCTGTGTGACCTCTTTCAGATGTGAAAACACTGGTGGGGAGATGTCCTTTGCTTGTCCATTTAGATCTCAGGTAAGAAGACCTGTGCAGCCAGTCCTTAAATCCTTGTTGTTCAGGGAATTAGCACTGAGACAAGGTTTTGTAGCAGTGCACATCCAGAAAATACTATGCAAGCTAACCCTACAAAAGATTTGCTATCTGGCGTGATCTGATCTGGAGCAGGTATATAATTGAAGATGTCTGTTACCTCAGCATAAATGTCAGATACCTGTGGGATTTAACTAACGAGAGATGGTAATTAATAGGTAGAACGGAAGGAAGTGTTTAGATGCCTACAGTTCATTAGCCTAGCGTGCTAGAGCAGGTTTGTCATCTCTAATACAAATTTGTTACTTGGCCATGTGACTGTAAAAAAAAGGTGTATTTGGGGTTTGACCTAGTCAGTTATTTTAAAAGCTCTGAAGAACTTGCCTATTCATGGCATAAATTCTGCTGCAGAGTATCTGTGTCACGAGGAACTTCTGCCTCACTTGCCCCTTCACATGCTCAACACACACGTGAGAGATGGGTTGCTTCCATAGTCAGTGAAAACATACTTGGTGGTAGCAAATAGATATTCAATAAATTCCGCTGCCTGAATTTTCAAAATAGCAAGTTTACTGTTGCTGTATACTTAAACCTTTATTTAATGTGTTCTCTTTACAGTGACAGCATGATGTTAAAGCCTGAGTGCTTCCAGTATTTTAAACAACTTGCATTCCTACAACACCTGTGCCTTAGCCGTTGTTATCAGATATCACCTGCTGCCTTAGTGTAAGTAACCTCTAATGTGCTTTGATTTGCTGTTCATGCAGAGGGTAAGTTAATTTAAATTTGCTTTATTTTAGGTTAAAACTGCAAATACCATTTCAAAAACCTGAATGGTATGAGGAATTGGGAATAAAACTAAGGTAAAATAACCTACTGCTAGAACCTGTACCCTTTGAGAATTGAGACTGGAACCAAAGCTGAGAAAGGCTTTCAGTGGTGTCAGTCTGTACTTACGGAACTGGCTGCTCTGTGTGCCTCATATCTTCTGTTTATGGCATTATACCAGTGGTACTCACTGCTGGCGTGGGAGGTTGCAGTCCTGCCAGTGACCAGAACTGATGTCAGTGCCAGACTTCTAAGTGTGCACTAAGGTTTGAAAAAGTTGGCAGAGTTGACAGTACTGGCTGGACTAGTAAGCTCTGTATATTTACTTTTGTGTGCACCTTTATCATTTATTGATAGTGACTGAAACATGGCTTAGAAGTGACTTGTTCATGAGGTCATTCTGCCTTTTATTAGTATAGAGGCTTTCAATCCCAAGACTTTCAAGAAAGATGTCAACAGAAAGGAAATGGCCAACAAGAAAAAAAGGTTGAGAGGAACAGGACTAATGAAAATGGGCATCTGATGAACCTTTGCTGTGGTAGCACATGCCTCAGCCTTTTGATTCTGTCCAGTACTTGCTTATAAGATACACAGTTCAGATGATGACTGGGAAAAAAATGTAAAGCAATCAAGAAGCTGAGTCTGGCTACTCACCAAAATATTTTTACAAACTGGAGACTGATTGATAGTACTCAGGGGTTTGTGTCCTCTGAACCACATCCTGGAACTTCATCTGGGCAATTTCCTTCACTTGTTCTAGATTTTTAAGTCCAAGGATATGAAAGGGGAAGAATCAGTTTGTTTTCAGTCTGTGAGAGATATTAGCAAGGAAGTAGTTTATTCAGCCAGTTTCCTGAAGTATCAGTGCTGAGTACTATTTTCAATTATGTATGTGCTTAAGTAGTTCACCTCTTCTAAAAAAATTAGTAGAAATGGAGTTATATAGCTTGTGTACAGACTGAAAAACCCCAAAAAATGTTTTCAGTTTAATGATTAATTTCGTATTTTTCTCTATCTAGAGAGCTTGGTGAAATTCGAACACTGAAGACTCTTCAGGTATTTGGAATAGTGACTGATAGCTCCCTGCAGCTCCTCGAGGAAGCACTGCCTGACATGAAGATCAATGGTTCACACTTTACCAGCATTGCAAGGCCAACTGTTGGCAATAAAAAGAGCCATGAGATTTGGGGCATCAAATGCAGATTGACACTGAGAAATCCTAGTTTCTTGTGATCATGTACAATGCACTGGATGCCATGGACATACTGTGCATTGAAGCTCCTTAGGGAAATATGTGCTGGAGCACCTTTTATCATAGTACTGTTACTGTCTAACTTGGTCTTACACCCTAATATTGTTTCATAATATTTTGTATCAGTTTTTTGTACTTAAAACCTTTAGAAATTTGATGATCTGTGAGAAATTATGGAATATTTCTTTCAGTCTTTCTTTTTTATAGGGGATCTTTGAAAAAAAATATTATGAAACAAATCACCATAATTAAATAATGTCAGCCTCTAGCAACTGTCTGCAGCTTATGGAACAGCTTGCAGAGGTGCCAGACATCTTTATAAGGTTTATTAAGGAATTTGAAGAATTCAGAATGAATACATACTAAATATATTCAACTGAAGAAAAGGTACAGTAGGATGAATGACTCAAACTTGAAAACAGTAAATTGGGGATATTTACACAGAAGCAGCTAAGAAACAGCTCAATACCTTACAAGTTATGCAGCATAAAGGAGCTATAATGAAGTTTTTGTTTAGGAGGCCACAAAGGAAACTTTGGCCTTTAGTAGCCTTCATTTTTAGCCACAGTGTGAAAAGCCAGTTCAGAATTAGCATCTGTAAAAATAGATGCTGGTTATCCATTATTTCATGTTGTGGTCCTAGGTTTTCTGATTACATTTTGCAGAAACTTCATGTAGCTTCTGTGAGCCTGATTGCAGATAAAACTTTATCCAAGATCTTTCAATGCAACTGATAAATTGGTAGAAGGAGGAGGGCTCAAAGAGTTCTAGATATGGCCAAAACCGAGAACCTGGGACTACTCTCTAAGAATGCTAAAAGGGAGAGATGCTTTGGTGCTATCAAGAGACAAATTTCTCTTTTATATTAGTTTGCTTGTAGTAGCACTTCATGTATTTGTATCACTAACCACTATTGTCTAGTGTTGATTTTGTTTTTTTTTAAAGTCATATGAGAAATTGAGTAACTGTCCCCAAAGAAAAAAAAAAACCAAATAAAGTATAGGGACAGGTAATGACTTTAAATTAACCTTTCATTTGCATCTGTTACCAGAGTACTCATGCATAAGCCTAGAATGTTCCAGCAGGTTTTTTAGGTGATAATTCCTAAGGCAAAACTTGGAGCCTCTGCAGGACATAAACATGCTGCTGTTTTTCCCATGAATGCAGTAAGCAAGCAGCTGAATTTATTCATGGATGTTTTTAAGAGTAGCTGATGTATTACTGAGGCCTTTGCATAGATATAACTTCCCACTGCAGTCTTGAGGAAAAGCATTCAGGAATGAATACCTGGTAGTACAGAACATATTAATTAATGTGGAAAGGTTGTATGAGTACTAGAATTTGATATTTAACTTGACTTTCTAGAATATAGTAAATAAAGCATTATCTTGCAGTCTAAGTTGGTTTGGTTTTCGTTAATTTAACACTGTAAGTAACAGATGTTAATAATGGGCTCGTATCCCCTACAAAGGAGTTAATGGGCAACATACCCTATGGAAGCTGGAGGAATGATAGGGGGTTGGAGGATACAGAGTATTCTACTGCCTCAGTTTGCTGCCTTAGTATTATACTTGAAATTACTTCAGGAAGAAAAAGTAAATCTGTACAGTACAGCATTACCGTAATTTTTTCTCCTAATGCACAGTGTAACTCCATGCAACATCTCTTGTGTGCACTCCATAATAAAACCTGATACATTGATTAGTCTCCGTACTACATGTAGATGCATGAAGGTTCACAAACCATTAGAACAACCTGAAACAGTAAGTGAGAAGAAACTGAAGGTTGAAATAAGGACAGGACAGTTTCATTTATCAATTAAGCTTTTAATTTTTATTACATAATGTATAAACACCACATGGAAAAAAAAAGCATTAAGAAAAACAAGTCTAGTTTAGGTCTAGAACACAGTGTAGACTAGCACGAAGTGAAAATACCATGGACTTGACTCAGCAGCTAGAAGGGGTTGCAAAAATCACTGCCAGTCCACACAGATTAAATCAGTGTTAAACCAAGACTCAGTCTTGTTCTGGAACATTGTCTACTTAAGTAAATTGTCTGTACTGCAATCCTTCATCATAAAGGATCCTTAAAAAGGGTCCTACAGTTTTTTAATAATTAAAAAAAAAAGGTAGCTTCTTACTATTAACTAGATTTCTGAATCATCCTAGTCAATAAGCATTCACCAGTAAAATGCTTCAACAGAACTGCAATTAAATACAGACAAAACCAGTAGAGGCCACTCATGAGTAGGTCAACCTTCCATTTTGCTAAATCAGGAATTTGAAAATTTACTAAGTCCTAATCTAGATCATACTTTGGGGCTGTAGGGTCTGAAAACATTGCCTTTTAGTCTTGATGTTCATAATAAGGAATGACAGGCATGTTTAAGAGGTAAGCTTACATATCAGACTAACCATTCTCCATTTAAAACATTACAGCACACAAATGTCTAAATAAGCAGGGAACAGGATTTCTGCCATAGATCTGCTGTGCACATGTTCAATATGTAAATCTGATCTAAGACTGGTAGAGTCCTAGGAAGTAATAAATGACATTATTTAAAATAATGCCATTTATTATTTCTTTGCCAAAAATGGCCAAATAAAGTTAATGGCATTGGTGGGCTTGGGGATTTTTTGAATGCTAACAGTATATTGACAAGTGTACTTGACAGAGGCACATAATAAACAATCCCTAACTGGTTACAGATAGATTGAGAATAACTAGAACACCCTAGTCTGTGTGCACACAGATTTTAGAAAGATTAATCTTTTGTGTCTTTACCTTTAGACAAACTTTGCACATTATTTTAGACAGTAAGAGCTTTATTCTGATAGTTCCTGAACTTGCCAACTTTTGAAAGCTTATTTACCTACTTTGATTTTCCCCTCTGGGTCTACAGTCATAACAACCAGACAGTGTAAGTAGCTGCAGCACACTTAGAAGGGGAAATGTACACAGTGATAGCTTATTCAGACATCTCCATCAAATTTACATTTTCCTAGAACTGAATGGTCTGGTCAAATCAATATCCTCTAAATTATATTTTAAGTTCTATTCACTCTACAGCTAGAAGGAAAAAGTCATTTGTCCATTTCCTCCACCAATAAAGAGCAGTTTACATTTGCAAGTGGCGATAAATACACTGATTGGCCACAATGGAGAACATTTCCATTAAACCTGAGAACATCTGTTACAGAAGTCTCTTCATTCAAAAGTCGTTTGAAGAAAACTCACTCTTGGAAACAAATCTGTAGTAGACAAAGAATACTATTTTCAAGTCATTTTCAACTTCAGAAGAGTTCCTGCTGTAGGAATACTTGTTTTGTCAAATTCTGCCTCACCTATGCAATTACAAGCACAGTTTTCAAAAGGCAATCACAGTTCACAGTTTCTCTGAAAGATTTAAAAGGTAACTTGCTCTTCTTTAATCAGAGCTTTTTTTTTTTCTTTCCATTTTCAACTTGATTACCTAACATGAGCAGAGACGTGTGAAATTAACTTTTTGTCATTAACATATCACTAGAATTCAGCATAGGATTGGAAATTTAGATTTTCTGGAGAAGGTAAAAACATGCTGGGAAAAATGGAAGACATAGTTATTAGCTTGTGCTCCAACTCCTAGTACCCAGCATATCTTATTCTTTAAATATAGGAAATTCAAAACCTCTAATTCCAAACTATTCAACTTGGTAAGGCCAAATATATTTCTTAATGATAGCCACTTACATACACTAGTGTCTCTAATCATCTGCTTGGAAGTTAATCCATTCAGTGAAGGAATATATCCTACTGCAACATGATTTCTATAATTTATATATTCCTGATAAAGGGCTCAAGAAAACATTTGGGTTTCCCTATCTAGCCAAACAGAAAAAGTAAAAGCTACCTCATTCAAGATGTATTAAACCAGACTTACATTAAGAGTATAAGTCTACAAAGTAGAAAAAATACTGGAAGAACAAAAGAAAAAAATGCCACAAGTTGTATGAAACTACAAAGTTGTACAATTTTTGAAAAGCATACAAAAGATTTGTATTTTCATTTCTTTTACATCAACATCATGGTTTACCAAAATCTATATATCCTTGCATCAAATTGCTAGTTTGACAGTCAACTTTTCTACAAAAATGTATGTATGAAGTATTAAGTTTCATCAGTCCCAGACTGTTACTAAAAAACTGTACATCTGAATATTTAATGCTACTGACCTAATAATTGAACCCATTTACCTGTGTTTACAAAGCTTTCATGTTTGCCTTACAGGTTAAAACTGAATTTTCACTGAAGTTAGAGGTAACACTTCAGACATATTTTACACTAGATGCAAAAAGAGTTTAAATATCAGGCTAATGATTCCCCAACCCAAAGGAATGAAAAGCATTTCAAGCTTCCCCCAAATGCTCTTGCATCCAAAAAGGCCAACTTCCAATGTAATGCAGCATTGTGATATCCCCATGGTTTCCCTCTATGGATCCATAAATGTTTCAGCAAAAGACATCAGCATCCTTCATTCTTCCAGCAGAACAGTGCACAGTGAATCCTCTGTGTCAATCAATATTGAAGCTATTGCCCCATCATTGAACTCAAAAGATGTTCCTCCATCTACAACCATGCAAGCATCCCAACAACGGGAACGGACACACACTCTGCAAAAACCCAACAGGTAAGTTATCACAAAATAGCTTAAAAATTTAAGTATTTCACACAAGCACTTAACAATAAAACTGGTTCTGGGACAGTCTTTTTTGCTTGGGCCAGTAAATGCGTAACCTCCACTTAATTAATGCTTAAATGCTTAATCTCTACTAAGCACCAGAGCCCCCCAAGTTATCAGTGTATGTCCTTGGAATGGACTTAGCAAAGAGTCCAGAGAGGACTGAAGGACTTGGTCAACAGAGCCTACTGCTCCCAGAGGCTGGAGGGGTTTCAACACCAAGCCTGTAATGTAACACTTGGTGCTGGAAGCTGACACTTAGGTGTCATCTTCAAAGAAAGCTACTGATGATTCCATTTAACTGTGAATTACTTAGTCTTCACAGGAAGTTTAAAATTAATTTAAGATTCTAATATGCGGTCTTTATGTTATGTGAAATACATATTTTTAAATAGCGACACTTGAGATTCAAATAATTTGGACATTAATGTAATCTATTTTGTTACATTAATCATTTAGAGAGAGGAAAAGTTATTACAAACACAAAACTGAAGGTCAGGATGCTTGCCAGGCAACTTCAAGAACTACAGCATATTATTTTCAATATTAGAGTCTGACTATACCATATTTAAGTTAGTAAGTTTAAATATAATGCATTATATTTAAGGCATATATCAAGGCATCTCTTTTAGAGCTGGACAAGACAGAATAAAGAATTTGGCTCAGAGCTCCTTCAGACATTTGTTCTGATATAAAAGGTTGAATTTACATTTAATTACAATTGAAATACAGTATTGCTTTCAATAGTTTCTGTGTTATTATGTGTTTGTTCAGTTAGTGTGATCATATAACTAATGGCTGTACATGTTTATATTGAATTGTGGCAAGCTCCACATATCATAAAATCATTTAGATTGGGAAAGATATGCAAGATCATTTAGTTCAGCCATTAAACAAACCCACTACTACGTCCGTGTCATGCCTACATGTCTTTTAAATACCTTCAGGGACGATGATTCCACCACCTCTATGGGCAGCTTGTTCCACTGCTTTTCAACCCTTTCCATGAAGAAATTTTCCTACTATTTAATCTAAACCTCCACTAGCACAAGTGCCCTAAGTTAAAATGATGAATTAGAAAATTACTCAGTTTGGAAATGCATTCAGTCCAACCTTCTGCTCAAAGCACGCCTTACTTTAAAGATGGGTTAGGTTGCTTAAGGCTGTCTTGCCCAGGCAGGTTTTGAGTATCTCCAAGAACAGTGAGAAGACCATCTAGAGAGACAACCTGGTTGACTGCCTGACTATTCTCAAAGTGAATTTTTTTTTCTTTTTAAAATCAGAATCTTACATCCTATAAAATCATGGCTATTGCATTGTATCCTCCTCTGAAAAGAGCTTAACTCGAGTCTCCTCTGTAACCATCCTTTGGCAGCTGAAGACAGCAACTGGATTCCCCCTTAGTCTTGTCTCCTCCAGGCTAAAGGAAAGCACTGTTTGAGTCTTTCCTTTATAAACCACTTGTTCCGGCCCCCTTATCCTCCCAGTGGCCCTTTTCTGAATTCACTCCACTTTGTCAATGCCTGTGTCTCATACTGAGGGAAATGGCACATAACCAAAACTGGGCACAGTGAGATTCCTTTATTCTGTAAATCTGTGCAGGGATCAAACATTAAAAAGCCATAACACAACTAGGAAACATTTTCCTCCTGCTGTTACAAGAACAATACTCAAGTCATTCAAAGCACAAACTGGATGTTGAAACACTTCAAGGGAAAATCCTGGATTGCTCATACTTTGACAGATACACAGAATTAAGTAACTCTTTGCTATTGCAGCCAACACTTACTTTGAAGAGAAGCCACGCTGACGGCTACTTGAGAAAACTCTGTTAACAATAGGCTCTCGTACACTGAAAAACATCTTTGGTTCCTCTGGACTGTACAGCAGAGACTCATTGTAATCATTTGTTACTGTAAGCAGAGGAGTCAGACATTAATTTTTCCAGAGAAAATGAGTTACCCTCAGAAACACATTCCTCCAGGGAAGTATAGCTTGTCTACCAAGAGGGAACATCAAGTCTTGACAGATGTTCAACAGTCTTTACATGCAAAGAAAAATTACTTTTAAGGAAGATTCCTTTCAGTTTTACTGCATGATGAACACTCAATAACTCTCTTCTGGTGATTAAATATTAACTGTTTCAAATTTTAGGAGAACTGAAATTCTCCTGAATTTCCTCTTGAAAAGGATATGCAGAAATCTAAATAAGTGGTTTAATTTCAGGTAAGACATTTGTTTGCCATCTGTGCCTAATTAATGTCTGTAAGAAAGACTATTACTGCAAGAGTGCTAAAACACTGAAAGCTGAGTAGTAGAGAATGCAAACAAAATGAACTGGCCAAAGATACTTTAAAAAATATCTTGCCTTTTTCACTAACCTTTCTGTACCAGTTCCGTGTTCAACGGCATATTCAAATTTCCATGCTTTTTTGCTGTTGAGCCAAGAGAAAGAGGCCCAGTTAGATAGATGTATCTTTATATACACTTGGATAGTAAGGACACACTGTTCACTCACCAGTCTTAAGGATCTCCTCAATAGCTTGATGTGCAACCTTGTTAATATTATAGGACCTAGACAGAGAAGAAGTCTTGTTTTCTAAGCAGTACAACTTAGGACAAAAACAGAGCCAAACCAAAAAAACTTGCACACTGATGAAAAAATAAGTTCAACATTTGGGGAGGAAAAGGAATGCTATTAAATGTGAGCTGATAAGAGTTTATTAAAAAAAAGTCTAAAATCAACTCTTGTTTTGGAATCTATCTGTGGCCTTGTAAAGCTTAAAAATCCATAAGTGAAGTCTGCAGGAAGGAAGAGCATGGGATGTAGTCCTCTTGTCAATAGTCCCCCTGCCTTAAAACCCCAATAACTGCTGAATTAAATCTGCATTAAAAAAATGAAGCATGACAGTTCTGGAGATTGTGTTCTTACCCTGTCTATTGCTTGCTAATTGATTTATTCTCTTAGTTCTCACTTATGAAACAGACACTTCTTCACAAACATTTTACCTCTTTATTTGTACCCTAAGGTATGGCCTTGAATCTCCCAAGAACTGGTATATATAGCAAAGAAACAGACCAGATGCTTCTGCATTTGACACATTTGGATGAACAAGTCAACACAGCCTCAATCTGTACTAAGTCAAAACTCAAAAAAAAGTCTCCCTTGTCTGCCCAGACTCCCAGAAAGGGAGTAGGTGCTAACCACAGCCACTGTGGAGCAGTACTGTGAAGATCTCAATACAGCTTAAAGTCCACAGTCCAGCACTTTTGTCATGACAGTAAAATGCCTGAGCCTGTAACACATCCATTACACCCCTATCTGACCACAGCACTGCTGAGTGTGGCTGTCCAAGGCTCACTCTCTTACTGCCCACATGCAAGCCTGAGCAGATTCTATCAAGATAAAATTTTGCAGGTGCCAAAACTGCAAAAAGCACCTGGGCATTTAAATCCAGGAGAGCCCCTAGACAACAGGCTAAGGGAGATCACTGAAGCTCGGCCTCAGTTTAGAGCAGTCCAGCAACACATACTAATTACAGCAATGGAGAAGGGCAATCCTGGAGCTTGGTACCGGGTTCTGGATTTGCTCAGCACAGAGTGTATAAGCAAATGAAATGCGTAAGAACAGCACTGAATTAAGACTGTACTTTCCCAAGGTACTGAACACTAGGAAAGTTTCCCTAGCAGTCTGCCAATTTCATCCTTGGCAGGCCCCAAGACTAAGCTATGCTGCCTGAATACAAAATTCTGAATTACAATGAAGAGCAAAACCCAGTAACCATGGTTACAGCATGAATACTCATTTTTGAATTTCATTAAAAGCTTCTGTTTTAGTTCATTTTAGCCTGCCTCATAAATCCAATGCCTATTGTACAACTTTAAATTACGAGCGCAAACACATCTCTCACATCTCAAAACTAAAGTGATTAGACTTACATGCAGTACCGCAGCATGTTTAAACTGAAGTTTAAATTATTTATCCCTCTGATTAAGCTAGCACAGTTCTGTGTGGATATAGCTATCCTTTGTTTAAGGGGAATATTTTGACAAAGAGATTGTCCTATGTAAATTAAATATGAAAGAAACAAGAGGCTTGAAAGGAGAATGGACAGTAGATGTGCCAGAGAACATTTAACACTGCTTCCAAATACATGTTTTCCCATTCTTCTCAGAGCTTAGAGTTTTATAAGTTTACTGGGCTACATCATCTAAGTGTTTTAATTTTAGCCAACAGGAATAGTTCATAGATCACCTCTGTATGCTCTCTGCAAGTCACAGCAGAATCTCTTTCCCTCACCACTCATCTTCAAGTGTGGCATGCCATATCTTTCACTGAAATTACACCTAAGGCAAACTTCTGTCTCAGTGCCACAGCTCCTCACCCTTTCAAGGCTTTTCTCCACAGCCACAAGTAATGAGTGCCCTGCTCTTCTCATACACCTGGAACAGTTCTGAGCCATGCTGACAGTGATAATATTAATTATTAGACTGACTTACCCATAGCCCAACAGAGTTTCAGTAAGAACAAAATGCTTAGGCCAAATAGTTCATCTAACTTATCTGAAATGGTATTTTCTGTCAAAACAGCAACATGTACTCACCATGCTTTTGATCCTGTTCCAGTACACACATTAAGCCCTGAACTCTTCTGTTTCTCCCAAGGACCATCATCAACTGATATTTCATAATAGGAGGCCCTATGAAGCGAGAATTTAAAACTGGGTTTGCAGGACTTAAAGTTCTCCCTGAATAAGACAGAACACACAGCCTTATCAGGCACACAACAATTTAGAGGGGCTACTTTCAAATCTGGATCACAATTTCACAGGCTTTGTACAGTGTTTCCCATTTGACAGCTACTTCTGATTCACTATTTTATAGCAATTTTTATAATGGACTAAAATGATTTGTAGCATGAACATTTAGGCACTTTTTCTGCAGTCATTTCTCATGTTAATTTATGCAAAAAACCACCTCTGTGGTTCATCTGGAGAGCTTGCTGGACCTACAAATAAAACTATAAATAATTACCTACCTGTTGCACAAAACCCGTGTTTATGCTAAGATTGGGTCTCATTAAATTATGTCAAGGAACACTAAACATTTCAACATCAGTTAAGTAACAGCATGATTGAACCTGAATCCTTGATCACTTCAGTAATTAAAAATCAAGTGCTTCTTCATGAATAGCTTTCAACAACCAGCAAGCTTACATTTCTCTCCAGGGCACATTATTCTTAAAATTCAAAAGTACTAGGTCTTGATGTACGATTATCTCCTGCATGCTACTGTTCAACTGTCAGGGCATTCCTAGAGTTAGGCCTAGAGACCAGCGTTTCTCTCTACAAGCTTCAGAATATCTAAAAGTATATTTATGAACTTAAACCTGTTGATATTTTTAGTGCCTAATTCAAATAGTGTGATACAGGCTTCAGATTAATAGATATCCTCTCAGAAATACCATATTCACTGTTTTTATGCATGACTGAGTTTCATCTTTCTTAGTAAACAGAACTTACTGAGCAATTATTTCAGTCTGGATCCACTAGAAACACAGCTCTTGGCTGTTTGGTGTCAAACAGTTTATACTTTCAGTAACTAAGGGCATGTTGTGTAATCAGAAGATGGGGAGATTAGAAAACAGGAAGTAAATTAAGAACACAGGTGCACAGCTCGATTCAGTTTAATGTAATTTTTACAAGCTGGGTATGACAGGTTTTCTGGGGCTTTTTTCCCTTCCATTTACTTTTTTTCATCACTGACATGCAGAATAAGACCTTAGAAGAAGCTCCTAAAGTCATTTTGTCTAATTAAACAGCAGAGCTGTGTATTTGAAACTAACAGAAAATTCATCTTTACGACATTTAAGTCTTCAAGTATAAGGTCCTATTAACACCATACTTATTTCTAGAGGTTTGTTTCTAGAGGTACTGTGTTCCTCAGTGGTTCTCAAATACACTGGAACCAAGAGTGCAATGTACTTGTGACACTCAGAGCATTGGAAAACAGCTTTGTGTTTCTCTATCACTGCGTATTAAAGAAAGTTCTTAGAATCTTGATAAAATTAAGTTTCATTTAGGTAAAAAGCAGGATTTGTATCTCTTTGAGATTAACTCCTTCTGCCAGTCTGAGGTTGAAGTCCAGACAAAAATTAAAGCACTCACAGAACATTTATGCAGTTTGCACCAGCAGTCAGTGTCCCAGGCACTGTACAAATACAAGCTGTTAAACTCTAAAGTGGCTTTTCTGTTGTTGTTTTTCGTATTTTTTAAGATAAACAATAAAGTGAAAACAGATATAAAATACAAGTAAAAGTTTGGTCAAATCCTGACTAAGGATTATCTCTTTGCTGCAGCCCCAGTCATATTCCCAGTTTGGCTGCCGAAAATGCACTGATCTTTAGGACAGAAAGGACACTCAAATGTATCCTGGATAAGGCTTTTTTCATACAAACATGCCTCTTAAACAAAAAATTCCAATAATTATTATTAATTCCATAAATAACAAAGTTTCTGCCAAAAGCAGGCTGATACCTTTGCATCTAAGGTATCTTTGTACAGAGGTAAGGTACATCTTTGACAGAAAGGCAGAATAAAGAATCATGATAAAAGGTATTTCTGCTTGGTCATGCTAAAAGCTTATGAAAAGATATTTAAGAAGATATGTAGGAAAGGAGGCAGTTTAAGGACAGATAATTAAATCATCAGTAAAAGGGAAAGAAAAAAGCCAGGAAAATTGAAAGAACAACTAAAGAGGAGGCAGAAAACCAGAAAGTAACATTACTGCAATATCTAACAAACTTAGATATTTTAAAATACACTTTTTAATCATCAATAATACAATAAATATTTATGGACTAGAACTGAAATTTGACAGTCAGATCTCATCACTGATTGTCCATTGCAAGTCATAGAAAGAAATTGAGTCAATTGTACCTTGCTGTAAAAATAATCAAACATACCTGGATGAAAGAGATTCCCCAATGAAGACTTCATTGAGTGCTCTCACTGGTAAAAGATGTGGACCAGAAATATCAGACCCTGCAGAAATCAAATATAAAGTTTTGAGTCATGGATTTAAAACACAAGTTTTCAAAAACCACTCACAATTCATTGGAGGAAAGATTCTGCTGCCTGGGTTTGTTTTCTAAACCTAAAGCTCCATTTTCTTCAAAGACTAATTTTTTCATGGATTTACTCTGTGGCCAGTTAACTGTCCTTTACTGGAGACAATAAATATTTAAACCAAGGTCAGCAATGACACTTAAGTTCAGACACTTTTCCCTGAAAAGTCATAGGCAACCTGGCAGAGAAAAGTCTTCTCTTCTGTCAGTCACTCTTCCAGCCAAGTTAAATTCACTGGCAGTGATTTAACAGACATTTCTCATGAAATTAGACTTCATACCACAAGGCAATTAAAGAGGATTAACAAATTGTTCACACTGACAAGGACTTCTTAGTGAGCAAATTCAGTACTGGACAAAGGTTAGGCACAGAACCCTGCATCTTTCAAACCATCATAAAGAAAAAAGCTGAAAGTGTTCAAGAATTATCTACAGACAGATTCTCACTTCTAATGTCTTACTTGCTGATACACAAGCCCAGATTTCACAACTCTCAATTAACCTCACTTAGAAGTTAGCATGTGTATACAAACAGACACACATGCTCAAGTAGTTAAAGTAACCTTAAGAGACAGCATTATAAAAAAGCTCACATTTTTTGACAGGGGCTATTTAAAATACTGAAACTTTCACCAATCCTTATCTTCTATTCCAAGTTATCATAGCAAAGTGATTATATTCTTGTCAGATTTTAACCTACTTTGGTCCTGGAATCTTTCATTTATGTGAGCCCTGCTGTGTTGCTCTTGGCTTAGCTGCTGTTCATGTAAATCCACAGGGGTTGTGTTAATCCCAGTTCCTTCAAGATACAGTCGGATTCTTTGCCGCCACTGCCACCTAAGATAGGAGGAAGAAGTCAGTATGAAGTATTCATTACAAAATCAGATAGTGTCTGAGAGTCTTCACTCTCAAAGCAGAACATCTTAAGATTAGGAGCTAAATACATTCAAGGTCATATTTCAAGTTTTATAACTTCCACTATTACTTCTAAATTTAGAAAGTTAATAATACTTAATTGCAAATTCTTACATTTAGCCATATGCTATCTAATGTTTTTTTCACGTATAAAGTAAGAGGACACTGGTCAAAAGTAGCCTACAAAACTGTATGTAACAAACTCTCCTTTTTAGGCATGTCAATCTAATATGTGAATGAATGACTGATACGATGCTTTTGAGAATGAATAGCCCTCAAGAATTTATACAGAAATACATGTTGTATTTTTAACATCTTTTGTTTGTATTTGTACATGTCCAGAAAAGCAGCTCTATGCACCACTTTATGTATTTAAGGCCCCAAGATATTTGGGGATATTTAACCAAGTTATTGGTTAAAATGAGGGGCCCCCTTATTTTAACAATCCCTCCAGGCCTATGAATTTAGGATGCTTTAGAAGAATTCATCTGAAGCAAGAGAAGGATATGAAAGCCATGTTACAACATTCAGATTCTTTTATTTGTCCCTAGAGATTTTATTTTTACTTTTCCTCTTATAACCTAAGATATTTCATAAAATAAAATAGCAATAGTTTTGACTGAGAAAGCAAATCACAAGAGAATGTTATGAGTGTTATCTTTTCTCTGTTCATATTGTTGATATCCAGGTGACAGTAACTAGTTTTTCCTAAAATTACAATAGACTTATGTTTTATATTACTACATTGCTGGATTTTCCTCTTGTCATCTTTATAGTGCCTCATTTACACATCCTATCTACCCTTAAATTCCAAGTATGATTTTAGGTAGTCATGCAGTGAGTATCACTATCCTATCATGCTCATCTCAAGGCTAGAACACATCATGTCCCCTATAAAATTAGAAAATGGGACTATACCCTTATTAATACCTCTATTCTGAGTGAGCTACACCACTGACCACCAAGATAAAAAAACATGGCTAATCTAATATAGTTTGTCCTTTATGAATCAATAATGTTGGTTGTCTCATGATTTACAAGGTCCATGTTAACACAGATTGTTACACTGATTTAATACATCAGGGATAAGGAGAAAAAACAATCATCCTTTTCCAGTTTCTGGCAACTCACCATCCACTACAACTCCAAGATACAGAAGCCCTTCCAGACAAGGATTCATTTACCCACCTATTCCAAAGTTTGCTTAGGGCCAAACAAATCTAAAAACTTTCAAATGAAACACCTGCTCACATCTTTGTTTAAGAATAAAGTTCCTATTATTTCAGAAAAATAATTAGAGAAATCCTTTCTGTTTTGCTCTGGTGAGGTTTCAGCTCCATAACGAGCAGTAACAGAAGTGTCAGCAAGAAAAATGTAACTTTTTCCAATGAAACATCCAAATTGCCAAATGCCAAGGGAGGTTATATGAATAAATGAGTTTTACTTAAAATATATGAGTTTTTATATTTTTTGAAATATATGAGTTTTACTTAAGCAAATTAGAATGATGGAGACTAAAATGCTTCTGTTTTCTAAATCTTAGAATATGTGAGTTGAAAATATCTGTTCCTTTAGCAATACATACTGAAACTCCTTATTTAGCAACTGTATTCATTTAATTTCAGAACTTTTCTATGGCACAAATACAGTTACACTTCAAGTTAAAAATTTAATATGCTAGAAGTATAAACAAAAATCAATTGCTATATACTTTCACGAGTGACTGATTTATGTTGGATGGTTTGTCATCACAAAAATATTCTAGGAAGTTATTATACTACAGACCAATGTCTGTTGTTAAGCAGCTATTAAAAACTCTTCTTTAGTCTTGCCTTTAAAATTCAGCTTGTTTCTTTTTAAATCAAATGAGATTATTCTATTTTAAGAATATCTAGTAGTGAAAACATCAAGCTATATCCAAGCATCAAGAATTGTTTTGCCTTACAATAATCTGTTAACAAAATTTAAACCACTTTATCTCAATCACCAAAACCCCAGATGCAACACACTGACCATCTCCTAACTGTATGTGTTTCATCAGCTTCTATTCTTACAGCCATCACTGTACTACATGTTTTTGAGTCCCTGTCCTGGGGTGACCTTTATGATGCTTGTATCCCCACTTGTCTGCTCTGTTTATGCTGGATATTAAGTCCTGCACCTTTAAGACTGGTTCAGAGAGCAAAGTGGGGAGAAGAAGTGTGCAGTTTGTCTGCAGGCAGTGCACTTGCTCCCTGAATTCCTCCTCCTGTGTGTCTGCAGCACGGACAGCAGGACAGAGCTCTCCTTTGCTTCTCGTTTGGTTTTAGCTGGCTGAGGCAGAGAAATTCCCCAGACTGTGGCTTTTTCTTTTCCTGGAACTGATCAGCCTTGCTCTGGACCAAAAACCCAGAAAAACCCCAGGAGCTCACACCTGTGGGCCACCAGGGCATGGGACCTGGCACTTTCCAGCACAGGAGGGACTGATAAAAGAGTGAGTGAGCTGAGCTACACCCCATGAAAAGGACTCTCTAAATTTGCCATCTCTTCAGAACAACAAGAGGTTCCATTGTTTAATATTACTCATTTTTGTTATGTTTGTGAGTACTTTGCTTGTTAAATAAACACTTGTCCCACTTTTCTTGAAGATTTACCTCCTGAACCAGTTGGGGGAGGGGAAGCTTGAATTTGCTTTCTAGAAGAGACCACTTTGAATGTTTCCTCCAAAATTTGCCCGAAACCAACACAGTCCTAAAATACATTTACCAATATATCCCTTATAAGAATGCAGTTCCTCATTTATGATTTGCTAAGTCAGAAATGAAAATCAATTATTGCAGGTCATAACAGAAGACTTTTTGCTGGAACTGGCAGCCAATTTGATAATTTGTATTCCAGTCTCACTCTTGACCACAAACTAATTTTTCAACATTATAAACATCTACACAAAATTCACAGTTTGAGACCTTAAGATTTCTCTAAGCTTCATCTGCTCCTTAAGAATTGCACATGATCAGGTGTTTTCCAATCCCTCTATGTTTTTGAAAACCAAAGATCAGTAATCCTACCTGAACTCACCACGATAAAGCTTCTGTAGTGCTTCAGGAAATGAATGTGTGTATCTCACAGGCAAGCACAGGTGACCTTCTGATCTGGTAGCAAAAAATGACAATGAACATGACAGTATTACTGTTCTGATTTGGTACCTTTGGAAAATAAAACAAATCTCCCTATGTTTTATATCTAGCAAGCTACATTTCTTATACCTTTATCAATCCCTTCTAGTCTTGCACAGTACCACATCAGCAGCAACACACAGCTCTCAGCTCCTCGAGTCTGTGTGTCTGAGATGGGATATTTCTCCCACATTTCCCCTAAAAACTGTCTGTTCAGCCAGTAATCCTGCAGGTGTATGCAAACACTAATCCTGCCACCACTTTAGGCAAACAATTTAAGCTTAATAACCTGGCAGAACAGAAAAAAAGCTTCCTCCACTTACACACAAGTTAGCAACATGAACAGGTAAGCAACATGGCTAAGATCAAAAGAATCTCATGTCAAAGCTATAAGCTTTGTAACATAAGTTATAAGCTATAACACTGCTCCCTTCCATGAGTAATATGTGGCAATTTGAAGGCATTTGTTATTTGAACCCTACTAGTCAGGCTTGATAATGCAGAATGGCTGCTCAGAGCATTTGAAAAGTTTTGGAAGAAAAGATATTAAAGGAATTAACCCTTTTGACCACCACTTTATGTACTAGGAATAAATTAACTGTCAGTATCAAAAGCAGAATCTAAATCTGGACTTCTCAGCAAGCAGAACCTTGGTGAATTCTGAGTTTCACTTGCCATCCATTCAAAGGTTATACCAACCAAGTAATACTAACACACTGCATCCACTGAGCTGTAAGATTGATGTGGGCAGGTGGGTGCAGCTTGTGCAGAGTTTATAATAGGACAGTAAGTGCCAACAATTGGCTCAGGAGACTGAGTTTTCTGAGGTGTCTCATGGTTTACATTAAGAAACCACAGCAAACTTCATCTGAGGCTCTACTGGATGCACCTTCTTCACAAAAAAAATAAGTTTGTGTGTGTTCAAGCATCACACTTAGCTGCTTTTACCAAGTCCTTCTTCCTAAGTTCTATACTGCCATCTCTAGCTTCAAACTTCTGGTTTGTAATACAAGCTAACTAGCTCTAAGTGCTGTTACAGTGGTGTGTGAGAACATTTGTGGCAGTTATACACAGTCATGCTTGTCCAATACTACTTAATGTCCTCTCAGATGAGACAGGGTAACTCCCTGTGGAAACTTTTCTAAAAAAACAACAGATTCCATTAGCATCTATCCTGCCAAATGCTACAGGTATGCCTCATGTACCATGATAACAGATGCACGGTATGCCTAGTATTAAATAAAGCATTGCCTTCCCAAATATGTTTTTACCTTTCAGGATCAGTATTTATTCCGATGACTGGTTTAAATCTATCAAAGACCTTACTGGCTGCCAACAACATTGTACCATCACCTAAAGAAAAAAAAAAGATCAAAAGTTAGTTTCACTTCACATTCTAGTACCCCAAATGTACTCCAGCATTAGTGTTATGTGCTTTTATATCAACAACAAATCAGGCAAGCTGGACAAAAAAACAATGGGACAAAACTACTGACACCTTCTCAAATAAGAGTAGTGACAATAGAATTTGAGATGGCAAACGGGACTGGAAAAAGTACAACTTATCAGCTATACATGCCCAGGCAACTGAACATGGCAGAAGCAAGCTTTAAAAGAGATTTATGGAAATTTCTGTAGGTTTATCACTAGGTAAGAGAAATTCTTTAACAAAAGTAAATTTAGAAAGTATTGCTAAACAAAGCCACAGAAGACAGGAAACAAAACCAAATGTTACTGTGAACCACATAAAAACAATGACTTTAGCTTCCCCCCAGTTGTCCTCCTAAAAGGCAATTTAAAGGTCTTATTTGGCTCTAAATAGGCACACTTAGAAAAGAAGTCTTAGGTAAGTAGAAATCTCCAAAGTAGAAAACTTTAAATGTACTGGTTTCTCCAGATATTGGTATTTTTTCCTGTCTGTTAAACACAAAGAAAACTATAACCTCATTCAGTCTTTACACGAAGATATAAGCTCTGAACAGCATGAAGACATAAGCTCTGAAAACTTCAGATGATGTATCACTTCCCAGCTGCTTGCCTCAACCATGAAAAATCTTGCCACAGACAAACTGGCACTTTAGGGAAATTCTTTGAAATCTAGAGTGTAGATACAGAGGATGCTCCAGGAATAAAACTTCCTACCCATTCTTCATGGTGCTCAGTACCTAAGGGCAAACTGGACTAGTGGGAAGAGAAAAAGCTGTGGTCAAGCCTGTTTGCCACAGATGAGTGAACACTATGTCAGAGCCCAGCAACACAACGCTGTATTTGTAGCATATCCCAAAAGAAAACCAAAAAAAACACAGAATGAACTGCTGCAATCCAATATTAAAAATAAACAATCAGGTTAGTTGCTCTGTTGGTTCATCTGGAAAACACTTATCAGTGGCACAAGATGCTCATAAGCTGCAGACTTTTACCTGTACCATCCAACTTGATACGCCAGTCACTGGATTAAGTGTGAAAGCAAGAAAGACAGTTTGAGCAAGGGGACCATGAGGTAGTTTGTTAGTCTACACCTCACATTGCAAAAACCAATAAGAAGGCCTTAGGGCCACATAAAATTATATGACATCAAGCATTTTATCCTCTTTTGTTGAAAACTACAGCAAATTCCACAGTTTATATTGTTTCATACAAGAAAAACTTTTCTAGCAACCATGCACTGGGATTCACTTCCATGGGCTCCAGTTTTAGAGACTAGAGGTAGACAAGATGGTCATAACAACTGCTTTTTGTCAGATTTTCTGACAATTAGACTAGCAATATGTTTTCAGAATTTCCAGTTGCTTCAAAAACTGCAAAGTATTTTTGAGAGACATATCTATGAAAACATACTGAAACAAATACTTCCCTTCCATAAAGTCATACCTCCTGCTGATATAACAGCATCTGCCCACCGAACTGTCTCTTCATTATACTCTCGACGCTTAACAAGACGAACTTCTATCCTTTCGTTCCTGTAAAGTTCAGAGAAAGTCTGAATTCTGTCATGTATTGTTCCTTATCACAGCCTTCCAAAAGTGGTCCTGCAGCTAAGGAGTAATTACAATCATATTTGGCTTAAAAACACTTGACACACAAATCCTGTGCTGCTTTCTCATTTACTTTCAAGATGATAATAGAACATGCTAGACAACTGAACTGAGCTAGTTCACATGATGGTCCTTTCAGCAATGTCTGTTCATCTGCACCCCTCTCTTTTCAGTACTCCTAGTTTATTAGCACTTTTTTGTTTCACACAATCCACGGATATTTGCACTGTGTCTGAAATACTCAGCATCCATACAGTCTTACCGTAAGCTGTCTACAACATGCTCCACATTTTTTGTATGAATGCGATGCCGTTCCAGCAGACCAGCATAGTTAGATCCCTTCAAGGCAAGCTGTAAGACACAAATGGTTTTTGCACAAGTTAAGTACAGTAAGAGCTCTTGAGTATTTTCTCTCAGCAGAGATAACTTTTTATAAGCCTTCCATTAATTACATTTCTATATACACAGAGTCAAGGTATATTGACTAGTTCATTAAGTCCATTAAATTAATCAAATGACCACAGCAGTCAAGAATCAAAGACTACACAAATATGCAAACAAGCATACTACACTGATCTCCATGCAACTTCAGACACTTTGCTCCTCCTAAATCTGCCAAATTATTTAAATGCTACACGAATCCATACAGTTACACTAACTATACTTCTGCCATGTGCTGAAGCACGCAGTTAGCTCAAAATAGTGTTGTAGAGAAGACAGACAACAGAAAAAGCAACAGGAATGACAATTAAGAAAGCAGAGCCTGAAATACCTACAGCATTACACTTCAAATTGTATTTGAGCTAGAATGGAAGACTGCCAAGTGTTGGCAAAGGTGACATTTTCTCTGCATAAAAAAAAGCTTAAGGAAAATCTACCTGCTACTTTTGATACTGTTCCCTGGATTATACACCACATTCTTCTAAGAAGTTGATAATAATAACAAGACAAACTGTGCAGGTGCATTCTAGTCTCATCCTTCCTGGAAACTGGTGAATTTGCATACTTAATCTCAACACACTCTTCAGACCATGGAAACATTTTGCAGTTTATACAGACACACTCATAAACAGGCAGGTGAGATTACTGACTTGTTGCAGATTAGTTTTGCAACAAGTTTTTGTGCAAGTAATGCAGTCACCATTCGTTCTTTATCTTATTTACCGAGGGGGGCCCGCATCTGGGGCTGATACTGCCAAACATGTGTGCGCATGGAGATAAAGAAAGTGAAAGAAACAGGGTGCAAAAGGATGTTAAGCAAAAGGAGTCTATAAATACATTCATAGTGAAAGTGATCCTGCTTTGAGCAGCAGGCTCCTGATGCTCCTTCTGGCCTGAATTAATTTACAATTATACTGTCACTGCTTCCTTTTCCCTGAACAGTTAAAACCAATTTATCAGCAGAGAAACAGAACTTCTCCTAGAGTCTGTGTAGAAGAATTCATCTGTGCCAGAAGCTCTAAACAGGCACTTCCAGCAATTTATTCAAGTGCCTTTATTCAAAGTTTTACTCCATTCCAAGAGAAAGTAGTGCCAGACAGCCTTGTCTAATCTCATTTTCATAGACTTCTTAATTCCAAAGTGAAGGGGAGAGTACTGTCAGGATATGACAACTGAAGTCAACCACAATCCAATACCCAGGAAATGAAATCTTTATTCATCTGACACCCGTTCATGTCAAGAAATCCAATCATTAGCTAAGCATGTAAGATAAGACTCAGCACCAAAGAAGTTACAGAAAAGAATATAATTGGCTGCTCTGGAACTGCATTGCTGTTCCGCTCAGTGCATTTACAATTGGCAGTTAACTTGCAGGAACAAAATCTTCAGGTGGTCTTCTAGATGGGATCAGGAAACCACTTCCAAAAGACTCACAGGCTACCTGGATGCATAAACAGCACTAAAGGACAGTGGGAGCAGCTGCCTGCCAGCTATGCATGATCACACACAGACTCAGGGATGTGGATGATCAGAAAACATCTAGATAAATATTGCAGGTTATTTTTTCAAAGCTTGCTCACATTGGTTTAGTGGGTTACAGGCTGTTATGTCCCATTAATTGCCTCACATGCTTAAACCCTTTGTTTCTACACCCGAGCTACAATGCATGTGCACCCTGGAAACTTCTAGGTCCTGCAGAGTCCATGGTGTTACACTGGGAACTTGAATGAAGCTCCTGTGGGCTGTGGGGAGGGAAAGATTACACAGGGCTATGCTAGTTACAGCACTGCTAATTGCTGGGTCAGCTGTCAGCCTCCCATCATCCAGCTGGAGAGGAAAGGAAAAGGTAGAAAGGAAAAAAAGGAGGTATTTGCCTCCCACAGACATCTGCTGCTGACCACCACAGGTCTAATTTTCTAGAAGAACTTTCAATTGCACATTCGAAGCACAAACTGATCTTGCCTTATCACAAGAAATCCACAATCAAACAATTTCCAAAAAACGTATTACTAAAATCAGTGTTCCTCCAGAAGTATCTGCTGCAAATGAAATAAGCACCTGACAAGCAGATTGCTGGGGCAGCACACTCTTCAGGCTGCTGTTAGTTCCACAGAAAATAGAAACCACAAAATCTATCTTCCAATTTTATGTACCTCATTTATTCATCTAATTTGTCAGCATGCTACCCTTCAACCTGATAGAAGAGAGCTTTTATCTCAGAACAGTAACAATGTAATAATTCTCTGTGTGATCATTTGCAGGTTTTTGAGCCATGGACATCAGCAGTAAGCCAACAGCTAACATTTCCCTGGCATCACCAGGAAGGAGAGGTATGAGTAATGCCATTGCTATTGAACAGAGTCTGTTCTGTAACTTATATTTGCCATAGCTGAGTTAAATTATTTCATCAACAGCTTCAGAAAACAAAGAGGTTGCTCAGCAGATAAAGTATCAATATTCTGTCAACTGGATGAACCATTTCAGGAGCACTGCAGAGCAGGCATTGAATGTGTAGATCTCCTCTTTGAATTCAGCTCTAGAACAAGTAAGTATGCATTACTAAGCAAGAAAAATGAAAAGTTAGAGCCTTTATTTTAAATGGGTCCTGGTTTGCAAAAGGCTCCAGAAACTACAACAGTCTGTTCATCTCCAGCCTCATCTGTCTGTGCTCAGAGATTAATAACTTGCAAGTTCATTCATCTAGAAACTCACAGAGATGAAGCCTGACTGAGCCTAACCACAGTCAAGTACACCCAACAGGAACACTAATTATCAGCTGCTCTCACTTGACCATCTGAAGAATCAGAGAAGTGCCTACAGTTCTTGTGGTCAAAGGCTCAGAATCACAGAGTGGCTGAGCCAGAATGGAGGTCCTCTGGTCCAACCCCAAGTTCAAGCAGGGCCACCTGAATCCACCTGTCCAGATCTGGATGTCTTCAGAAGATCTTCACACATGGAGCCTCTACCGCATCTCTGGGCAAACAATGCCAGTGCCATCCTCACAGTGAAAAGGTGTCTCCCAGTGTTCAGACAGACGTACATGTATGTCACTGCCTCTGCTCCTGCCTCATTCCAGCACTTGAATGCCACACTAAAACTATGACAAATGCTGCTGCTGGAAAGAGGTTCGTTTGCACTTAGGGCAAAATGTAAGACCAAACTGAGACCAGCACCTGCTTTTTACTTGGAAAGAGCTGAAGGCAAAGATAAGGCAGTCCAATTGCTGTGTGCATGATCACCTCCCAAAAGAGCCTAAAGACACTTAGGATGTACAAGCAGCACAAGGACAGCCTGGCTCCTGAGCCAAATCATCAGACAGGCCCCCAAACCTGTGCCAGGATGGGTTTTGTCAACTGACTCCTCAAAAAGGCACAGAAGTATTAGATTCTGCATGAAGACAACTTTCAAGCTATTCTTCCTTCAAGTGCAACTTCAGTAGTAGTCTTAAACTTCACAGCAGAAATGCAATGCAAAGTAGGCTTCCAGAAGAGCTTGTAGTAGAAAACATACTCAGGGGAACAGAACATTTCCTATGAATGGAGCTACTTTTTCCCTAGACTGAAGGAGAAAAGGTCTAAATCAAGTATCTAAGAATAGCTCTTCTTCAGTATCCTGACCTGATCCTTCTTTAAGGAAGGAATGATTTTTCATGAAGATCCTCTAATAGTCACTTATTCAAGGGATATTGTTTGGAGTGAAATTGTCAACTAAGCACCTTCTGCACATTCACAAGTTCTCTGGGCAACCTGTGCTAGAGCCTCACCACCTTCACAGTGAACAATTTCTTCCTAACAGATAGGGTCTATCTTGCCTCCTTCAGCTTAAAGCCACTCCCTTCCACCCTAGCAATACACTCATTGACAAAAGGTCCCTCTTCAGCTTTCCTGTGGAGCCCCTTAAGGTACTAGAAGGTGCTATAAGCTCTCCTCAGAGCCTTCTCTTCTCAAGGCTGAACAGCTCAAACAGTCTTGTCCTCACAGGAAAGGTGCTCCAGCCCCATGATCATCTTTATGGGCCTCCCCTGGACTTCTCCAGTAAAATTAGATGTAACTTTTCAGATGTACTTTGGCCTTACATGAATGCATATATATTCTCATTACTAGGCTTATGCTTAATTTACAGCACTAACCTTCATGCAGTCTTAAACTGCACCAGGGTGGAGTTAATGCCTCAGTGTACCAATCATTTGTTTTATGACTGTTGGTCATTCAGGAGTTAAACTAAATATCTGACTAGAAAGAAGAAAAAAAAAAACCAAACAAAAACCCTAACAACAAAAAAACACAGATCTAGAAACAATTACTCTCTCAATCTTCCACAATGAACTTGCCCACACATGCACCCTTGCTGGAAAACAAGAACAGATCACTGCTTTACAATCTACCTAATTTCTACAGAAAGAACCACCAAGCAATACAAAGGGATTTAGAGATCAACAGCTGAAGAGAAAAAAATTTTAATTTTACCCTGAAGACAAAAATATGATGAGCACTAACGTAACAATCTGCTTCTAAGCAGAGTTTGGCATTTTAAGTCCTGTATCTTCATGAATTGTCTCTTGATATTCAACCATGTGTCCCAAGCATAGCCAAAGTCAGTGTTTTGTTCTGCTTTAAAAGAAACAGGATTTTGACACAGAGAAAGTATTTTTCTCAATACATCAAGTTTTGAACTAGAAACAGCTTAGAATATACACATTTCAAGCCATACACTTCACTTAACTTTCCTGACTAAACTTGACTTTCATTCAAAACTTCCTTAATTAACAAAGATTGTCAATCTACAGGTAAGTAATTACCCTATGTTCTAGTGTTAACTAATTAAGACACAGCTTGATGTGCCATGATAAAACAAATGCATTTTTCCTTACAGGTCAGGCACACACTAAACTTTTGGATTTCTTAGGAG